AACGTCGACAAGACGTCCGCCATATATATCCGCCGCATAAAAAACCAACCCACGCTTGAGCTGCGAGGTCAGGCGATTACCAACCAGAACGTCATAAGGTACCTTGGGTGCCGGATAGACCGCTCGCTGTGCATGGCTCCCCAGGTCGGACACGCCGTCCGACAAGCCAGAGCAGCTCGAGCCATGCTGTACCCTATCCTGGCATCCAGGTTACCGATCAAGACCAAACTCGGCGTCTACAAGACGTACGTACGTTCGCACCTGACCTACGCCGCTCCGGCGTGGTATGGTCTGGTTTCCGCCTCGCAGAGGCGCAGGCTCCGGGCGCAGCAGAACCTCGCCCTTCGAGTAATCGTGGGGGCCGGGCGCTACGTCAGGAATGACGTAATCGCCCGCGATCTAAAAATCGAATCCATCCAGGAGTTTGTGGTCCGGTTGGCCCGTCGCATGTACGATCGGGCCGACAACGGACCACATCCACACCTACAAAATATCGCACCCCTACACGCCCGTCCTCCTGACGGGCGCCCGCTCCCACGAGAGCTACTGCGGTCGGAGGCCGTTGAGAAGACGATGTCGTCCACGCGTTACACACCGCGTGTAACGCCGTACACCCGCAAGTGCCGCTACCGCGGTCAGGGATAGGGATGGCCGATGGCCATCCTAACCACCGACCAGCCATTCGCTGGTCGAGATACATGCCCGAGTAATGGGGACAGGTCCCCCGAGACTCGTTTAAAGCAGGCCTCGCGCCAGCTTCGTACATCATTCGTGTAACAGTAAAGACATTACAGTTACATGGCGAATACGAAAACAAGTAATATCATAAACTTTATGTCCATGTACGTACACAATATATTATATCCGTCGGATGTGATAACTGAAACAAATTTCGGTGGCCAAAAATCATATCACTGGGAGATAGTCAGTCCTTTTTTATCGAAAAACGGAATATCAAGTCAAAGTACTAGTTAAACCTACATCTCGGCGACAGATCGAACGACATTTACTGTCGTCTTACTTGCCTGCACGAGTGGGCAGGCTCGTCAGGGGAAGTACCACGGCCTCATATAATACCAGCTTGAAGTGGAAGCATTATACCTTCATGTTGTATGTTGGGTGAGGTAACTGGAGCCCACTTTTGTACAGGCCGCCAACGCATCTATCTGCATGTTAGTAGAAAATACATTTATTCACCAAAAAAAAAGTTTTTTTTTTAATGTGAATAGTTGCCCAGTGAGCAGGCGGTTCCCCTAATGTTAAGTGAATACAGCCGTCCATGGACATCTGCTACAGCCGAGGGTTGGTACAGTAGATGTTGCGGCAGTAGTCACTTTCCCGAAAAATAAATAAATTGTATTGTAAGTCTGAAATTAGTACGTTTAAAAGAAATAAACCCATTATTATTGTTAGGGAAAACCTAACTGCATTTCTATTTCCCGACCGCAAAGCTCACGGGTAGGGCACCCGATATTATAGTTATGCTAATGAATATAATAATGAATTTAATAAAAATACTAATATAACAATTTTGAAATTAACCAATGGCATATTAAATTAATTTTAAATATAGGGCCTACCCCAGTTTCCAATACTTATAATATATATTTATATATATATTTATTATAATCTCATATTTGTCTATATATATATATATATATAGACAAATATGAGATTCGTCATATTATCCTTTAACCACAATTAAGCATAACTAAATTAGTTGTTTACTGCACATATAGTATAGCAAAATACATAAATATAGTAATATTTTGTTGCGTAATGATAGTTGGCAACGCTTTGTGGGGCTATCGGTAAATAGTCAAATCTGTTTTTAGCGATCCGTACCCAAAGGGTAAAACGGGACCTTATTACTAAGACTCCGCTGTCTGTCTGTCCGTCCGTCACCAAGCTGTATCTTAGAACCGTGATGGTTAGATAGTTGAAATTTTCACAGTACATACATCATGTATTACTGTTGCCGTTATAACACATGAAAAACAGAATAAAAAATATTTAAATGAAGCTCCCATACAACAGACAAGATCTTTTAGCCGTTTTTATAGATAATTGTACGAAATCCTTCGTGCGCGAGTCCGACTCGCGCACTTATTTACTTCCGATTTGATCGAATAAGATTGTAGATTTTTTATGCAATTGTAATTTTATGTATAAATTATGTGGGGACTTCATAAAGCAAAATGTATCAATTGAATACAATAAAATTTATAAATCTTTCGAAATTCCTGTGTTTATGGTCCCCTAGGGCCGAGGTCTCTAGCCAGAAACTGCGAATTTTTCAATCAATTATTATGAAGAGTAAAAGAAACACTGTTTCAAATAATCGTTCTTTAATCGAAAGTGTTAATAACTACTTATGTAATAATTAAGGTTTAAGCTAAATTCACGAAACTCGTATTACGAATAAGCCCGCTCCTTTTTTTTTTTGCTGGATGAGCCACTGTTGGCCTTAGGGGCCTTCACAGATCCGACGGACTTGAGGTGGCCGGGCGCTTGAGGCGCCTAGCCTGAACCTCGCGTATTTACTATTACGCGTTATGGTGACTAAGCTCGAGGGCTCCCGAAGGAACCTCGGCTCGGGCCGTCACGCTATTTAATTCACCGGTTTGGGAGGCCGCCTAGCTCTTAGGGCGCTTTGGCGGGGGCTCCATGGAGTGATCTGGCTCAAGGGTCCCCGAGAGGGGACCTCGGCTTGGGCTGTCACTCAGTACGCGTTTAGCATTCCGATTCGAGGGTGCCCGAGAGGGCCGGACCTCGGCTCGATCGGTAGCTGTTATCTGACTGGGGAGCCCGCTCCTTGAGCTCAATCCTTTTTATACACCTCTACTCTCCACAATATTCGCACCTCACTGCCCTCCTCTCCGCCGATTAATTTACTATAGCTCCACTACACACCGTCACACAATTTATCATATTGTAACGCAACTGAATATGTCTATTATATGAAAGCTGTTATTCGCAGAGTGTAGCTTTTCATTAATGAGAAACAATCGGAATAATCTCCAATACTTGTTTTTTTTATGTGAGAAGGTGGCAACCGCCGCCCATGAACTTCAAATGTCTACCCGTAGACGTTTAAATACGTTGCCACCTTTTAACAAACTTGTCAGATGACAAGCGGAAGTACAACACTTCCATTTCACGCCGGTCTTTTGTGAGGCCGTGGTACTTCCTCGGACGGAACTGCCCATTCGTGCAACAGCAAACTGTTGCGTGGCCCTCAGCAAATATACAAGAAAAGTTATGACACATAAAGCAACGTTCGATAATCAGCAATGTTTACTATGACCATAGCGTAAAGTTCAATGATGACTCATATAAATATGTTTATGTTACACTTTGTGAGTACGGTTACTCAATCCATTGACTCATAGTTCACCCATTAATCGTTTGAACCTTATTATAAACAAGTTGATAGTAGACTCAGATGTGATATCAAGTAAGATGCCTGATTACTTAAACTTAATGTGACATGGAATAAACAAAGTACTTACTTACATTAATTAACAATTTTATAATTACACTCACTTGTACTCCCATTTCATTTCAAAGCTTTAGCCAGCTAAGCTAATAAACACATTAATGTTTTTGTTGCATAACACTCTTTCTTTAATTTTTCCTTTTCCGTCTTTTTGGTAATTTATTAAAGATCCTGTTATTAAAATGATAAAACTTGAATGGGAACTATGGGATTAAATTGGAAATTTGTTCGTTTCGGAATGGTTAAACGGGGCTTATTATAATTTAAAATAAGTGAAATTCAACTATGAATACTTGTTATATATTTTTTTATATTATTTTATGGTTTTTACTACAGTCTAAAATGAAACTGTCAATGATTGAAAGACAGGGTATGCAAAGCTTTGATGCATGTATGTAATGCACGCGCATTAGACTACATATTAGGTACCTACCTATTTTAGTTTTAAAATAGTCAAAACCATGTTTTATCGTCTTTTACGCGAATAGTCACATATTTATAAAAAAAAGTATGCGTACCTATACTTATGTAATCACGTAAGAATTTATAGGTAGGTAGATACCTACGTCTTTAGCGTAAAGACATTAAATTCAATTGATAATGGTTTATACCTTGCAGTTAGTGCTAGAAGTTGAAAATATGTTACTATTTGCAAAGATTAAATTGTTTTACAAGCATCATGTTATTGAAGGTCGGTGTGCGCGCCCATCGTAAAAATGTTAGTCTCATAATTTTTCGAAACGCGGCAAAAGAAGTATAACATCGAATACTATTTTGCGTTCCGATAAAAAATAAATAGTCTGAAAATGCCATCATGTTCTTGTATTTTTGTTATCTAAATAACAAGCTTTTGTACTGATAACTTACTCGTCGTCGACCTAATAAAACACGTTGCATATCAAAAGGTACTGTGCAATAGTTTTCGGTCAAATGAAAAAAGATATTATTTAAGAATTTGGTCATTGTTTTTAATGAAACTATAACGGTGAATAGTCGTGACTACATGGTAATCACATGCAATTTGCAAAAAGAAACAAGCTAAGACCAGTTTTTGCTATCAATGCACAGATAACCAGTACCCTAAAATACAAAAAATCAAACAAAGAAACAAGAACTAGTTTAAGCTACGTATCGCTGAGGTTAATTTTTTTCAATGTAACAAAGAATTATTTCAAATAAATAAATGATATAAGTATGTATTTTTATCACAATTTTATTTTATTTCTTAAGATCTTGAATTCTAACTACATAATGGCGTTTATTTATGATAGTAGATAACTTTAGTAGACGAAATAAGTACAAAAAATATCATACAACTAAAATTAACATAAATAAGATTTAAAATATATTTTATTGAACGATGGCAATTAAAAATGTTTTTTTTGAGTATTATACGGGATAACAATAATGCATTTTAACATGTAAGTAAACATTTAGCTAGAAGGTACTTCACTTATTTACACAATTTTTTTCTGTCTCTTGTTTTCTTCTCTTTTTCTTAATTAATATCATTACTTTCCAATTCCTTAGAAGGTTTACTAATGCCGACTTCGAGTAACTGGAGCAACTTATTATACACCAGTTTTGGGGCGTCTATGGCCCACAGGAAATCTATGTGATTGAATTCTTTTAGTGGCACAATGTAGTGTTCCAACGGGTTCGCCAGGCGTGCATATAGGTTGCTCACGTCGACGTCGCTCGCAAGCCAATCGTTCTCCGAACTAAGTAGCGCTATTGGTAAGGTTATCTTGTGTACGGGATACTCCGGAGGTGTCGGCATTCCGTACATCTTAAAATTACCGTCCGGACCGTAATCGAACCGCTGGAAACGGCCGTCGTTTCGTATCTCCTGCGCATAGTGGATCAGGGTCTTGGTCGAGGCGCCAGCGGGCACGTGGCCCAACATTATGGGCAGCAGAGTCCTATTGAACTGGCTCTCATCGTGCCCGCAGAGGACGAACATTGAGTTTTCGCATATCACTTCCTCGTAATGGTTTATTTCGCACGCGTGCTTCGACAGCCACCTTAGGACAGCGTTTTGGGGCAGGAACTCGTTGGCGCCGAGCAGTTTCATCAGATACGCGATGTTGTCGCTGTATTTCGCGAGCAATCTTATCGGGCTCTCGACGTTCGTCATGTACGCGACGGGGCGAGCGCGTAGCCCGCTCTTAGCACTTTGTTGTACTGGAGTTTCGTCGAGAGCAGGGCGAATAGAACGGTAGTGCCCATGGAGTGTCCGATGTAATTTATCTTCACATCGCTACTCTTCTTCTCCACGATGTAGTCGATGATGGCCGGTAGGTCGTGCTGGCTCACTTCGTGGAAGGTGAAGTTCCAGAACTCGAACGAGTCCGAATTCCTGGACACGTGGGCCCTCGAGTAGGTGTTCCCGCGGACGTTGGCGAGCCACACGTCATAGCCGGCGTCGGACAATACGTAGGCGAGACCTTTCCCGGGGCCCGGAATGACCCAGTCCGCCGAGCTGCCGAGAAGACCGTGGTGAAGCAGCGCCGTCTTTCGGGGAACCGGTGCAACGGTAACGTTTCCCGCGTGCGGTATCCTATGCATGGTCAGTATGTAACCGTCGTCGGTGACAATCGTGTGCGACTCCGAAGTATATCCGTGGAGGGCGATCAACTGCGGCGTTGTCATGTGTATAGCTGGGTCGTCGGTGGAGCACGGATACTTGTCTAACTTCGGAGCGATCGAGTCGAATACAACTTTATCGTTCGCCTCGGCATCTTCTATGTAATCCTTGAACTTCCTCTTTATTCTCGCTTGCTTACCGTCGTCCTTTACGGTTTCATCGTTTCGATGAAGAAAATTGAAGTACGATTTTATTTTACTGTGAAAGTTGTCGATGTAGAACTTTTTCAGGCTGCGTCCCTTTTCTTTAACGTAGTCCTTGACTAGAGAGGTCTCCTTCGCGATGGTTTGCACAAGATTCTCCGGGAACCAGCTGCTCGTACACTCGTTGGTTTTTATCAAAACAATCAATGTCAACAAAGCGACGACTAGCAGCTTCATTGTGTTAGCGGCGTGCAAACGTTTCGAGCGATTCCCGACGACTGAGTTGATTATTGGGAGCAGACCCAATTTATCCCCCACATCCGGTCAAGGGCGTGATAAAGTGATTAAACAAAACTCTATTTTGTTATTGATTTATAAACAATGACGATTGCAAACGACAATTACTTCATAGATATCTATCAATGGAACAGAGTTATTCCGGACTTGACGATTATGCTGGAAATTTCAATAAATAAGATACCTCTATAACTTTGCCAATTATTTCATTAGAACAATACAATCTGCCTACGTATATAACACAATTAGTTTTGTATTGTATGGCGTCATTTACAATAATGCTAAATTTTCCGCCTTTAATTAGATGTGCACAATATATTGACAGCAGTTTACTTTAATTTAAAATTAAATCGAGGCGCATTAAAGAGTAATGAGTATTGATAGCATAACTTATTTTTAAATCATGAATTTATTTTAAAAAAATAATATAAACGGCGGCAGTCACAATCATTTCTATGCTACGAGTAATGTATAATTAAAAATGAGGTAAGAATACAAACAATTAATAGACCCTGGGGTTTAATAGAGTTACTCGTTAAGAGAACTAATATTACGCCCGTATGACAATATACCTTGAGAGAGACGTAGGTGCGTATTTTAAATATTAACAATTTTAAAGAACAATGTTAAAGATGAGTGTAAGTTTCCACTGTAAGTTTAAAACACATTCATATGTAATTTTTGGTAGACATGTCGTAAGAAGATTTTTTGCCAATACTATGCAAACAGGTTTTTTTTTTTTTTTTTTTTTTTTTTTGGCTGGATGAGCCACTGTTGGCCTTAGGGGCCTTCACAGATCCGACGGACTTGAGGTGGCCTGGCGCACGAGGCGCCTAGCCTGAACCTCGGCGTACTATTATTACGCGTTATGGTGACTAAGCTCGAGGGCTCCCGGGGGGAGCCTCGGCTCGGGCCGTCACGCTATTTGCAAACAGGTTTGGGATTAGATTAAATAAGGCAAATATTATTAAAGATTCCATAATAACGAAATCGTATGTAGTTTCTTTTTTTGATTTATGCGAAAAAATAAGCAACATGTTGCTTTTCCGTACATAGAACAAAGACATCATTTATTTTATTTAGTTCTGTAATGTGTTCATCAGGTGACTTTTTTATAAATAAACTAAATGAACTCTTCAATGAGCTTTCGTTTTACCTAGCGTGTAGTTATAAGGAGGGCTTATAAAAGAAAACCAAAACCCATTTCATTTAAATAAATATAATGTCTTATAATATAGTAGAATTAAAAATTAAATAAATAATGCTTATTTATTTACAACTTGAACTTGTTTTTTTTTTGAACAATCAAAATTGTCCCGCAATCTCATTACAAAGATCGTCAAATTGTTCATATTTCCATTTCTGTAATTCCCTCTCTAGTTCTTCCGTTTGAATGTTTTCGAAACTGTCTACATCTGAAAGTTTAAAAATGGTTTTAAGTTTTACATTTGATCATAATAAAATTCATTACAGACAGTTATATTCCTTTGGTAGTTCGAGTTGCGTCATTACTATAGGTGGTTCGTGGGTTTGATTCTCAAACGGCGAAACTTATGTAAACAGTTTATATAATTTTATAATAAACCAAAAATAAATTCATATGCTAGACCCACATGAAAAAGCACAATTTGTGTATGTCAAACGCCCCTTTAAAACATGATGATGATGATGATGATATTGGCCTGACATAAAATAATGTGCCATTTCAACCTTTATAACCAAGAGTTGTTAGCTATACATATTTCTTATACTATCATTTATTTGGAGCTTACGCATTTAACTGACAATGTTATATATAACTTTATTATTTAATATTGTTTTAGTTTAGAAAGTTAACAATATCTCATATTGTTAATTTTCTGACTGATATGTTTCCTTATTATTACAATTAATATTTAATGATTACAACACCATTTTAGCCGCCATGATAGCCGTGATAAGTGGCGGGCGCTCGCCTTTACTTCAATATACTCATGCAACCTGAATTTGGACCCCCGGTGCCGGCACCAATGAAATTGTTAATTTTAAGTGCTGAATTATCAAGTGCTCAACGGCGAAGGAAAACATCTTGTGGAAACCTGCATATTTTCAAAATAATAACAAAAAAATATTTCGAAGATATGTGAAGCCCGCCAATGGGCAGTGGGGCGTGTGAGCACGGCGTGTTGCTGATACTTTAAAACCGTTATTGATGAAAAATAGAAGTAGAACAGAAAATACAGTTGTTACGTCTTTTTTTTTTATGATTCCGTGGCGAAGTTGCCAAGGTATAGGCTTCGGCGTCGGGGGTCGTGAATTCGATCCCCGCACGGGGCAATTCCCCGCACGAAAAAAAAGGTAATATTTTCATAAAGAATCTATCAAAATGTTTCACAGCGCCATCTATTTACAATTTGTATGAATGAAAAATAGAGAAGCATACTATATTTTACCGCCGTTCTTCAAATTAGGATACATTTCATTGGTAAATTCTTATGTGCACACTGTTATATTACCACTCCGTGACTGATCACAGTACTGTACGAGAATTTCGAATATACATATAGTATGTTCTAATTTCTAATAACTTGCCATAGATAGGAAACCATCCGCTTAATTCCAACACTGCCACATTAAATGCAGCCAGCTGCTTTGCCCCGGAACTGCTTTTCCTCGGCCAAACTATTAAACGCACTATTTCTTTACTGCAGTCTTCAGTTATACTTTGTCCTCTTGTTATAAAGATGTTATGCGCAATTGATTTATGAAGTAAGAAGTCAACAAGTTTAAATATATCTCTGTAAGCCACTACTGTATTACTTGGTACCTCGAAAACAAGTGCAGGTACTGGATAGTCATGACCAAAGCAATAGACAGGGCCTTTGAGATGTTTGCATTTCTGTAAGAAATATACTATACAGGTTGGCTTTTCTAAAGGTGCCCAAATTCTCACAGGAGGCTCAGACCCGGTAATATAATCGTTTATTAAAATAAAAACAAACTTTTTTTCCAAAGAAATTGCCACTCTATTACAAAAAAACGAGTTGACAATGCGGTAGTCATTCATAAATACCTAAATTTTCCTGTGCACGTATACAAACAAAACTAAGCGCTCGGGATAAATCGGAGACGACCCGCGCCGGCACGGCGTCGTATACTTTTGAAACGAACTTGTGTGCGTGTTAGTTATGAATGATCGCGTGTAAAATAAATGAGTTGCCTATAAATCACGCACTTTTTGAGATAAGTTCAAATGAATATAATAAATTAATTACGAGTGATTTTAAATATTAATCAGTTTTATATAACAATATATTATATGTCTAGAATTTTATAAAAAAAATAACTGGATACCCTTAGAAAAGCCTCCCTGTATATATAACTATATTACTTCCAAACAGAATGTTCGGTTTAAGTCTGCAATCCAAGTTCATACTAAACAATGTGATGTGCGAAATGTCAGTCTGTCCTATACAGCGTGTCGTTACCATCGCGACAATAAATAAACACATATATAGGGGATAACTTTTTAAAGTTGTATTAAACATTTAAATTCCTTAAACATCAATATTTACAGAGTTATGAAATTTTCCAAAACAAAGTATTTTAGAGCACCCTTGCCTATAAAAGCGTAACGTAAAGTTCATTTGTAAAGGTCACAAAGCATATATGGGTTGAATGAATTTAAACGAGACAAAACATACTGTTAGAAGGAGAGCCTTGTAATACGACGCTGTGGCGCGACTTGTATAGGATGTTACAAATTTTGTTTCTTTTTTACTTAATTAGTTTGTTTGAAAAATATTTTTTTTTAATTATGGATTTTGTTTAACATTAATATTTTTTTATGATTATTGGCAAGTAGCGTTAGACGTGTGCTCATTTATTGTCGTGATGGTAACGACACGCTGTATATCCTGCTATAGGCTATAACTGTGATTTAGTAGCAGGTGTTGAAGGTGCAATATACATGATAACATGATAATATTTTAAAATATTATACATGGTTAAGTGAAACTATTTTAAGGATTTTATTGTGTTTTAATTTTTATATTCCCGAAGTTCCGAACCCTTTACCTTGACCATGAACGCTGGAAAGTTTCATTTAAACATGATAACATGTAAAAATAAATTGTTAATTTTTGTAGATAAATGAACATAAACTTTCGCTGCTAGATTTGAACCTGTGTCTTATGGTTTCGCGCCCAGACACTTTATTAACATATAAAAAAATAGCTGTATTGGGAAATTTTAAATAGATATTGCAGCATTGATTAATAGTGAACTTGAATTACCACTGTTTCTACAGGCAATATGTTTTCTTCAATGAAAAGGTGATAATGCAAGTGATTTACTGAAGCCAATCCGCATAAACTATTAAATCCAATCCGCAAACTGCTGTAAAAACCATGTAACAAGTATTAATTTTTCAATAGTATTAAGAAGCACATTAAAAAGAATGTACAGAAGAATGTTCACTGAATTAGGTCCTAACACAGTTAATATTTTCTTTTTTATATCATAAAATTTTCTTTATTTTAAAAATAAATATTTTCTTTTTTTTATCAAACCTCACTAATAGCTACATAAATATATAATTTTAACAGTGGTAGGTCCATGCAACAGTTTACTATTGCACGAATGGGCAGGTCTATCTGGGGAAGTACAACCTCAAAGAAGACAAAGTGGAAATGGTATACTTCTGCATTTCGCCTGGTGAGTGAGGTAGCTGTATCCACTTAAAAGGTGGCAACGCATCTCTAAAGGTGTTCGAATGTATTGCCACCTTGTCACATTAAAAAAAATCATCTAAATTTATCACAGGTACTTTAAAATCTACCATTTGAATTATTGTTTTTGTCTTCTCACCGGTCATTAGCAATGAACATAATATCACAAACTAACTGCAAACTCTCCATGGTGACAACTTGTGGTAAACAACTCTGTACAGAAGGACATAACAGGGAGTGGTATCGAGATATTGGACTCACATTAACTACTAGCGCATGTTCATTTGCTTCTGAAAAAAGAAACAATTACTTATTAATTATGATAAATTATAAAGTAATTATTGATAGCCCGTGTTTTAGTTCCTATTTCAATTAAATAGTCTCTAATTTATACAAAAATAATATCAAAACAAAATAATATTTCTTGGTAAACCATAGATCTGCTTTATTTGAAAATATCATGTGCAACATAATTGATTTAGTATCTAAATAAGGGGTTGAAGATTTTAAAACTAAAATGAAATATCTATAGCAAATTATATATAATGAATTGGAATCTAGGAAGTCTTTAGGTAAATTTCATATTTAAGTATTAAAAAGTTATTAAAATATAAGTATGATATGAGAGATTCACAGATTTTACTAGAAAGCATTGCATCAATACTTTTATTCTTATTGTACTCAGAGAACTGTTGCATAGAAATTTTTTATACTTTTCACGCACAGAGATCTGTATTATTATGTTTACTTTATTTTCATCATATTTGATCTTTATACAATATTTGTCTTTATCACTTTGTGCTATGTAATTTAATTGAAGTAGTCATTAAATTACTTGGGAAGAAAATGTAATTATTATAATAAATAACATAAATAGAGTACATTACCGTTATCTTTTTCAAAAAAGGTAAAAATAATTTCATCCTTGGACACTTTGGTAAAATTAAACTTATCCTTATCAAATGGTTGGATTATATTTTCTATCTGTTCTGGTGTGCGCCTATTAAAACTTCTATCTGGATTTAGCTGCAAAAGATAATTGCAATGTAATAAACATTTTTTTCACATATTCTCATAAGTTAAAAATATATACAAGCAAATCTTAAATATAAAAATTCATTTGGATAGATTGCTTAAATTAAGTAAGATAACTAACTCTACCTGTAATAAATAATTCCCTTCTACGATCCTTTCTCGTATATTATTAACTTTATAGCGAAAAACATCGGTGTGCTCATGAATTCTATCCCATGATTTTTTATATAAGTACATAAAGTCTTTATATCTGTTTTCGCCTTTATAAAAATCTTGTAATTTGTACATATTACAAAAAGTTTATTAAGAGCTTAAAGTTTAATTATTTAATTAGATAATGGATCATTTAATATGCTTGTAAATAAGGAAATTGAATGAAAAAGTCAAATAAAATTCTTCTTTTGTTATTGTATACAAAAATATGTCATTGTCAATTTAATGTAATATGATTAATGAATAATGACATAATCACTTAGTCAGTGTTGCCAATTCATTTAAAAAATGGCCTTAAAATTAAGATGAAATACCCCTAAAAATACAATTTTCAAAATTCCCTGTCACATTTTGTTAAGGTAAATAAATATAACTTAATTTAATTACTTTTTAGTATAAATACTTGATATAACTAACAAAACAACATAATATTAATTAAAATTTCATAAATTATATTCATTTAGAGAAGTTTTGCTTTTTTTTATTCATTTTGGTCAGCCAAAAGTGATGTATGAAATATTATTATTCAAACGACTATAAATGGCCCTTAACTTTTTTGGACCCTAAAAAAAGCCCATAATGCTTATTTTTAACCCTACACTTGGGGCTTAAAGCCCTAAGTTGGCAGCACTGGACATAATGTCCAATCCAACAGTTTGAAATAACGATGGGTCGTTGAAGCTTTAACTTACCGTTAACGTTGATTAATGCTCTTCAACTAGTTAAGGTGGCACCTGACACTTATTTTATAAATTAGGTCTTTTTTGGTGATGAAATATAACGTTTTATAAAAAACGACGTTATATATATATATATATATATTTATATGTTATAATTATACATATAAGAAACTTACGATTTCAATCACATCTGGCATAATGGCTTAATTTTTTATAAGCTGTATGTATTCGCTAGCTACGATTGTCAGTTTCGTTAAAATCCAAGTCATCCATTTTGTAAAGCAAATAAAGAGGCTCGAACTTTCAGAGGCTTTTCCCTTCATGACACCCAATGAATTCTCCTGGAGCCACTAAACTTCCAATGAACCACTTGCTTGTTTGCCTCATTCCCAGATAATATATTGTTACAATAAAAAATTATATGTTGTTTAACTTTATTATTATTCAAAATCAGGTGAAATTAATTTTAGTTATTACCTTATCACATAAAAAAAAGATTGCTATTCAATCCTTTAAAATAAGTTTAAGCTGAATGTTACATTGAAATTGTTATTTATTTTGGAGAGTTTAATGCAAAAAGAATGTAATAACAATCCTTACTTAGACGTATCTGAGGGAAGAGAATTTCTTCTTCTTTAAGTGTCGATGACAAGTAACTTAAAAATGAGAACTTAAAAATTAATAACATTAAAAATAAGTTTAACATAAACTATATTTTGCTTAAATTATGTGTTATGTGAAAATTTCTATAATTTTGGATTAAAATTTTCACATATTGAATTAAGAATTCAATACCAATTTGTAAGTCAATATGAATAAAATTAATTCAAGTATGAAGGATGTATAATAAATTGAATTTTCATTTACAATTATGAATAAAGAAATATTTAAAAAAACATCTAGCACTAAGTATCAAAAACAGATTGGTTGATCCCACTACTATCAAACTTCACAGAATTACCAGCTGGGCTAATCACACAAGTCATAATCCATCAACACATTCAAATTTCACAATTTCATCAATATATCAGTCACAAAACTGTTTAAAGTTTTACTAATCAGTCATTCATTACATAACAACATCAATAATACATCATATATTGAGATTATTTGGGTTTAATGGGTTATGTTCATCATATAGCCATAATATTTCAGTTATCTTTTTTGCTGTTTCAGAGGCATCAAATGAATTCATTTGTGAAAGCTTGTTAGTGACTAGATGACCTATTCTTCCATACTTTGTATCATCAAGTCCAAAGGCATCGTTTTGCACTGCTTTAAATACTTTCACCAAATTTTCAATTATTTCCTTACAGTAACTCTGTTTCGTATTATTGCTAAAGTTCTTCTCCGATACCTCGTTTTCACTATTTTGCTTTGTTAAATTACAGTTCTAAAAGTAAAATAATATGAATGAATATATTTACATGGACTCTTAATAGTAATATTACTTGTGTACTAATTAGGTAGTTATAACTAACCTTTATTTCTTCAGCTACATTTGCGTCTTGTGATAAATCCTTTACTGTTCTATTGACTTTCATTAAAAATTGGCATGGTTCCCATAAATGCCAATTAATTTTGTAGTCCTAAAAATAAGGTTTACTAAATTTAGGATGTTTTAAAATGCTAACAAATAACATATTAACATAAGTTTTAGGGGTAAATTTGGACCTGGAAATTTGTTATATTTATAACTGTATTATATGATTTAAATTATATACAAATAGGTGTGCATATTTGTTATTTTGTATCTAAGAATATACACCCACCTCGCCTTTTGCATGGCTGGCATTTAGCTTTCTTAAGTAATTAGCGAATGTTGACCTAATGTTTGTCCAGCGATTTTTTACTGCTTGACCTGTAAATTTATGACCATACTGAGCTGCAAATTCCGCGTAAGTCTGGTCTCTGTATTCAATCGAAGTGTATTTTGGATGTTTGGGATTCCAGATATTAGGCTTGTTTTGTATAAAATACACAAGTTTCAGGTTCATCTTTCTAGTCCAAAAAACTTTTTCTTTTGCAAATTCCGATATCATACTTGGTCTTAACTTTTACAGTTTAAACTTGACTATGTTATTTTCAATAATAATAAGGCTAGGGTATCATTTTGTAGGATCTATCTAATGTAAATAAAGGACATAAATTTGAATCTGAAATATTTTGAAATTTTTGATTTGAGATTTGATGTGTAACCACTAACTAGTGTTGCCAACTCAACTTGCAAAGAAAAGAATACATTGCTATTTTTCACACATTGTTTTTTTTATAAATTGGGTAAAATTATTAAAAATGTGTCAGAAGATGATTATAGAAAAGTAAAGTAAATACCTATACTACGTACGTAATAAGTTATACTTCGCTAGGGTAACAAAAGAAAAATAACTTAAAATTTTATACCCTCTTTGTTTGTGCAAAAGACATTAAATGCAATTGATATGGATATGGAATAACAGATAGCTTGGTATTAAAAATTTATTACTTGACTTGACAATCTTGGCATAGGTAGTAAATGTCAAAAAATTGTTATTGGTTGCCTTGCCATGGTATTATCGTGAAGTTAGCCGCTTTGCAACCACTTCATCATGCCGGTTTAAATATATTTACAACTCTAAAAAAACAATAATTCAAAATTTATTTAAATATTCTACTTTTAATAAATCAAAATACTAGGATCCATCCAACAACAATTTAATTTAATTTTAGACACAATTATGATATTTTAATACGGTATACATTTATTAGGTACTTAATACAAAAACCAATTATAAAAGTACTGATTACCAAGATACTTATTTGTTCTAAGTAGGTAAGGGGTAATCAGAGTCAGATAGAGCCGACAGGGAGCAAAGTAGGTAACTGTTCTTCATGTCTTGGAAGCAAAGTGCAAGTCACTATATTTTTTTGGTTAATTTGTATTTTATTGGCTGTGTAATTTGTATTTATTTGTATCATCAACTATGCTTGTTCATTGTGTTTATTACATGAATTATTTAAATTAAATTAATTACATTAAAAAGTGTATACAATTTTAAAGATATTTTTATGTGTGAATGTCAACTGAGTTGGCGCCTGTAGTTGACCTGATTTTAACGGATAACCGCCGCCCATTGATATTTGCAGCACCTTGTAGGGTTGCAGATGCGTTGGCATAAAGTAGGCTTCAGCTACATCATTCATCAGACGAAACGCAGAAATATAACACTTCCACATTACGCCGGTCTTCTGTAAGGTTGTAGCACTTACCCGGACGGACCTGCCTATTGGTACAACAGCGAAAACTGTTGCGAGGACCTACCACAAATAACTATTCCTTATTTATACTGTTATACAATAATTTATTTATTTATATAACCTTAACTTCTTTTAAATTTGACAATATCTTATTTAATAAATATCGATTTATGAGTGCTTTAAAATTATATCTTCAAATGTAAAATTGAGATAAAAACCACCAGGAGCTAATAAACTCTATTGTTGTTTGATTGGACAGTTATTATTGTAGTAAAGTGGCTTAAGGGAACCAACAAAACTTTATAAAAGTAAAAGTAAAGTAACAGCCTATACATATCCCACAGCTGGGCAAAGTATATTGTTTAGTCCACCACGCCGTCCTGATGCGGATTGGCAGACTTCACATAATTATCTTTGAAATATATTTTTTTCTTTTTTCGAAACAATGAAGGCCTCTTGATGTTTTTCTTGAACGCTGCGCACATAATCAGGGCCGTGCCTGACGGGCGTTCATTGCGTGCACCGCACGCAGGCGGCCGAAATTAAGAGGCGGCCAAATCGTTACAAGTTGTTTACTGGGCAAAAATACAATCGGTTTGTTTTCATTAAGATACGAAGTAAAAACAGTTTCTCTAATCTAATCTATCTAAAAAGAGTTTCTCAGAAATAAGAAAAGGTATAAAAACTGATTAGGTCGTTGTAGTATTTATATACCTAGTCATGCAGCGAATCCGAATTTTTTCGAACATTGCACGAGCGACGAGCCGAAATAGTTCTTTCAATTGACCGGCGTCGCGTAAGCGGTCTTATTTCGTCTTATTAGTCGTATTAGTCTATAGACTAGCGAGGATAAATCGTTATTTGTGTCCTGTGAGTGATCCGATATTATTAAATTCTTTAATTTAACGAATAAAAATAAATTGCTTAATTCCTGAAAACTTTTAGTTGTGTGTTCGTGTGGTGAAATTTAATAAAAAGTTTATTTATCGTTCTCGATTTCGAAAGTTTTCTCGATTTAAAAAGTTTTTTTTATCGTTCTCGATTTCGGTTAACCAAAAACTGATTTTTTTCCCGGTTTGATGCCCTGTGTAAAATAATAAACATTAAAAATTAAAGTAGTTTTTTTTAATGTTATCCTGGGGGCGGCCATACAGACTGGCACGCAGGCGGCCATATACCCAGGCACGGCCCTGCACATAATAAGACAGCACAAAAATTAACAAATTCATTTTCGGCACCGGGGATCGAACTCAGGTTGCTCGAGTGTAAGAAATTTAAGGCGAGCGCCCGGACACTTACTTAGCTATCACGGCTCACCTCAAAAACGTTATAACTTATGATTAAACTTTTTAATAATTATTCCCATTACTCAATTTTCTTTGTACTGCAGCAAACATTCGGTGGAGAATAAATGTCCTCCATTTTCAATGATGTAACAACGTAAATGAAAACAAAGAATGAATGGACATCGTTTTTAAATTAACGTCAAATGTTGTTTGTACACCTAGAGATGGCGGTCTATATAATTATTATATCAATGAATAAGTATATTATGATGAATGGAAGTTTGCTATATTATGAGTTAATAGATAAGCCATCAATTTTTGTTAATGATTAAAGATATTTTGAGAGTTTACCACGTCTTTGATCTCTTTTCTTTTTTATGCAAGAAGATAGCAATCGAGCTGGAAGTTAACTTGACGTTAAATAACATTCGACGCTCATGAACATTTGCAGCACCCGTAGGATTATACATTGTCATCATTTGATAAAGTAGGGAGATAATATCTTTATTAATATTATTTATTTATAAAATCTTAGTCATTGCCCGAATTCGGTAATCAGCAAAGCGCCCGCGAAAAATTATACATAGTGAAGAATATCCACATTTTATACTTATACGCATATTTATTGAAATATTTGGATGTTGAATTAGATTGGGACATCTCTTCATCGATGCTGCAAAGGCATTTCACAAAGTCTGAGACATCGGCTTGCTCTTAAGCTGTTCGCACTCAACATGCCAGTAATACCTAAGCCTTCACGTCGAATTCGCATTCACATTTAAAAAAATATATTTAAAGCTCCTGTCTTTCTTCGTTTCAGTTTGCTCTAAACAAGCGACATCCCAAGCGATCTACCTACTGCGAAGGATGATATAATACTATATGATTCGGATAAACATTTCGGTTCGGCCGAGTCACCATTCACCGCTGATTGCGTAGCCTACCATAGTGATTCGTGATCCGTTCATCTGGAAAGTAAACTCGCGGTAGGACTTTTTTATGATTTCTTTTATAGCCCTAAATGGAAAATGCTTTACTTCAGTTCGTCCACTCTTTATATTTTTTATATAAACACGTTTTAATTAATTGTTACGAAAATAACACACTAATTTAAAAATGCGAACGTTTTTATTATATGTGACTTGTACCGTCTTTAAACCTAATCAGCCGAAAACATTTAATTGAGATCTGTAATAGAAGCACAAGCCGATTTACACGTTATATGTTGTCCCGTAAAAGTTGAAAATTTAATTTAAAAAATGAACGAAGGCGCGGCAATGCGTGTTATAGATAAGGTTCGATTTTTAAAAAAATTAAGAGGTGAAGATAGAAAGAGAGCGGTGATTGAACGATCCGCGACAGCGCCACGGGTGGTTTGAGCAACGGTAAATGTTGAGCGATGAGCGGCGCTCGAGAACCGTCGCCTCAGCACCCGCTCAGTCGTCGCCGCGACCTTAACCGCCATGGGTCGCTCTCTGAACTCGTTCTCGGCGTACGCGCGTCCGTACCTCAGCGCGAGCTCCCGTTACGCTTCCACGGGCTGCCCCTTCTCGAAGCGGCAGCGCTCCCAAATAGCTCCCGCCGCCGCCCTAAATGACGAGGTATTCGCCAACGCGAAGCCCTACTCCGAAGTGCCCGGGCCGAAGCCGATACCGCTCTTGGGGAATACCTGGCGGATGGTGCCGATCATCGGCCAGTTCGACATATCGGAGTTCGCGAAGGTGACGAAGATGTTCCTCGAGCGGTACGGCAGGATCGTGAGACTGGGCGGTCTGATCGGCAGGCCCGATCTTCTGTTCGTATACGACGCGGACGAGATCGAGAGGATGTACAGGCGCGAGGGACCAACGCCCTTCAGGCCGGCCATGCCCTGCCTGGTCAAATACAAATCGGAAGTGCGGAAAGATTTCTTCGGAGAGCTCCCTGGCGTTGTAGGAGTGTGAGTATAGCTTTGTAGAAAACACAAAAAAAAACTTGTCTTTCCAGAAACGCACTCGAAAGCGGTGACAGACGGTGAATGACATTGGAGTCGGACAGGAAATTAATGTTTGCTTTCTTTGTTGCACGCAAGTTTTTTTTCTCTTTCACTCAAAAAAAGCTAAAGGTTACGTGCTTACGTCCTTGTCTGATTGAAGTGAAACCTTTTGTTCTTTTTTTCATTTTTACGGGGGACGTTTATTAAGCGTTATTTGTATGTCAAGAATAGTTTTGTTCTATATTGTTTTGCGTCTAAGTGACTAGCTGGCATTAAGATATCGTTAGTAGAGCCATTACGAATTTAAATGGAAATTCTTGACTTTCACTTCTCTTTAAAAGTTTCATTGTATGAATAGTTACCATGTTGGTGCGATTTGATTTATTATAAATTAAAAGAAACTACACATGTTTTTTTATTTAACATTTTACGAAACTTGAAAATATGCAAAAAAACCAGAACGGTTTCAGTTGGATTAAGAAAAGTTGAAAACAACAAAGACGTTAAAGATACTTTGTGTCGTGCAAGACGTAGGCCCAGTTTCTAGAAAACCTTGGAAGATGAATGTTTAGATCATGCAATTGCACCTCTAACGACTTAACTGTGAAGCGAATTAAGTTACAACATGTGTAGACGCTCAGCAAATTAAAAACTCCGTTAATTGAGAGATCACTTATTGCTAGACGCCGATAATGCTGTTTTGTAAATCTTCTATAAATATTGTTCAAGAAAGTATTTTTTACACATTTCATGACGTTCTATATAGTTTTAAATATCGGACGCTTCGAATTCAACATTTGCGATCACGAGAGGGAAAAATCGAAAATCTTTCTACGAATATTAACTAATATCAATAATTATAATAGCTTAAAAAATATCTATGAACCAATACTGTAGAGCTAATTGCGATAATAAGTTTAAGTACAGGAGAATTTAAACCTTGTAAAAATTTGGGAATAAAAAAGAATTCTGCAAGCCAATTACTTTGCCAGCGCTCAGATCTCGTTACATTCTACTTAAACGTTCCATTAAGTATGTCAACACCAGCTGCGCAATACTACAAGTTGAATGACCGGTATAATGAAGATTATTTAAATAAAAAAAAAACAGACAGCAAAATATAATAATTATAATAATAAATTTTTTTGAAATGCGTTTTCATTTATTGGTGGCTTTCGAGATTTTATTTTTGAAAGTGTTGTATCCGATGAAACAATTTTTATTATCCATAACTGAGATCAATTTTCGTTAGCTTAAGATCAAACGACAGATTGATTGGTGTTTTAAACAATATTTTTATTCTGAAACTTTATACACGCATGAACTAGTTGCCTTTCGAATTTTGTATCTTAAATTATGAATTGGCTAATACTGTCATCTCAGATACATTTAGCACAAAATTTACTCGATGTGCTTGAAGTTACATCGATACTATGGCTATGGTTAAAGTATCAAACCTGTTTGTTTTAAAATCATAAGGGAAAACTACAGAAACTAGCTAGCATGACCAACGTTTATGAATAAGAAAAATATACGGTAATGCCTTTGGCATAACAGTAGTGCAAGGAACGTACGAAGCGGAAATCTATAAACTATCAGAACCCTGACTCTCAAGTGTTTATTTACCTCAAAAATGTATTTATTCATTAACGTAACTTAGTATTGTCCTATCAGGTAAACTAAACGTTGTTCAGTTGGTAATGAATAAATACATTTTTGAGGTATAACTTCAGATATCTTACTGCCGAAAATGTAAAAAAAAGTAAAGTAACATCCTATACATGTCCCACTGCTGGGCAAAGGCCTCCTCTATACAGAGGGTATCAGGGCATGGTCCCACTGCGGATTGGCGGACTTCACATATCTTCGAATTACATTTTTTTTGTTATTATTTCGAAAATATGCAGGTTTCCTCGCGATGTTTTCCTTCACCGCGGCGCATGTGATAATTAAAGTCACTTAAAGTTAAAAACTTCATTGGTGCCGGCACCGGGGATCGAACTCAGGTTGCTCGAGTATACAGCGTGTCGTTACCATCGCGACAATAAATGAACACACGTCTAACGCTACTTGCCAATAATCATAAAAAAGTATTAACGTTAAACAAAATCCATAATTAAAAAAAAATATTTTTCAAACAAACTAATTAAGTAAAAAAAAAAAAAAACAAAATCTGTAACATCCTATACAACTCGCGCCACAGCGTCGAATTACAAGCCTCTCCTTCTAACAGTATGTTTTGTCTCTTTCAAATTCATTCAACCCATTCATATGCTTTGTGACCTTTACAAATGAACTTTACGTTACGCTTTTATAGGTAAGGGTGTTCTAAAATTCTTTGTTTTAGAAAATTTTATAACTCTGTAAATATTGATGTTTAAAGAATGTCAATTTTTAATACAATTTTTAAAAATTATCCCCTATATGTGTGTTCATTTATTGTCGCGATTGTAAAGACACGCTGTATATTGAATTAAAGGCGAGCGCCCGGACACAGAGCTGATCGAAGTGTTTCTGCTGGTCATTAATACCTCAGCGGTTTGGAGTAACACGCTCCAGTGTCAATTTGATTCGAGGTCTCTTTAGAGTCACCAGTGCATGAGCTGTGATGCAACCTTTTTATTTATTCAACACTATGGACACTTGGTGTTATTATGTTTAGAATGCATAAAACATTCAATTACATTACACAAATTGATGATTTTTATATATAAAAAGTCTATAAACATATTTTTGTACCTACTATTTGAAGTAAAATACAAATCTTAAATTTAATATTGCCAGCATTCTTTAAATATCTAAATAATACACAAGATAATCACTTAAATAATTAGGTCGTGGTATTTTTTGCTTAGTCTACTGGGAATTAGATTTATTATACCACAAAGGATTATAGAAAATCAAGTTTAGATTTCTTATTATACGTTTAAGCCTAAAACAAAATTTAGATCCAAAAACATAACTTTTGTCTTATGCGTTAATTGCCCGTATTTAGGTGTCGATGCACATAAACTTATTGATACAGTTAAACATTGAGGTAGGCAGATCATATTTACAAGGTTGGCAGTTCACGTTCAAGCTGCTAAATGTGCTAAAAATTGTGACAATGACATGCCATATTGTGCTCTGTCACCAGTTCATTTAACACTTCTGCCTCAAGGTTGACACATGACATAACGCAGTTTACGCATAACGTAAAATACGCTCACTTTTATGTAAATAAAATAACATTTCAATAATCGTTTCGCTATGCTCACAGCATAATAAGAATTTTTATGTTCCGGATGTATTTAACTAGTTTGTGACTGGTTTTGAGGGTTTTAAGAGTCGTTCGGTATTATAATAGAAACAGGATAGCCATCTTCGAATAATAATATGTACAATTTTATCGCTCGGATATCAGTACTAGCATAGAATTGTAAAAAAAAAAGTTAAAGACAGGTTAGTCCAAGAACTGTTTTATATGTGTATAGATATAGCGCGATAAATAATAATCATTCTCTTGGATAAAATCTTTACACGAAGTTGTTTTTAATCCTTTATTCCGCATAGCAATTGAGTTCAATGGCACTGTGAAAGACTAGGTACCGATGATACATGGCCTACTTGAGAATCAGGCCGAAGCGAAAGCAACGTTCTTCGTGTCGATTATACCAGTGCTTATATTATACCGCTTTTAAATCGCCTCATTCGAAACGGTATAAAAGAGTGGTAGAAAATTCTTGAACTGTCATTAATAAATATGGTACTTAAATTGCATAAATAAAAAAATGTATACGTGTTCTTATTTACTCACGTAAGAAATTAACCTTCTTTAGCATAAGAAAAGAGAAATAACTAAAAATTTTATCCAGCGTGCTCCGTTTGTGAAAAAAAAAAAATAATTATAATAGATAACGGTATAGTTAAATAACTTGGAAATCTAGGTAAATGTCAAAAGTTGTTATTGGTTGCCATGGCACTACCGTGGTTGCTTTGCAATCATCAACATGTTTAAATTGGTCGCTTTGTAATCATTTTCATTATCGCATGTCGCTGTGCGGGCATATATTAAAAATTTTACGCTTATACTTTTCTAAAGAATAACTTCGAAATAAAACACTATTAAAAAAAAAACAAATAAACAACATATTTTAACATTAGCAGACGTCGGAAAGTATTGCCAAACTTTATCTGACCAATAGAAATAACCTACACATTTAAATAAGCTGACATATAACTTAATAAAAGCCGCGTCATGTTGCTTAAGCAGAATCGACTTCACAACCTTGAACACGGCAAGAGTATCCACGAGTAGGCTTATTGGAACGCTCTAAAGATACCAAGGAGTTAAGCAAACAACCTCGGAATGACAAATGTTAGCTAATCCACACATATTTGCTCGACGTAATCCTTATGTGGAGTGCGCCGCGTAAACTATACGATTGTTCATGACAAGCTTAATTTGACTAGTGTGATTGATTTTGCTTTCTCCTAATTGTTTATTCATTAATTAAGGCTTAATTTCACCAAAGGACATTAAACTATACTTATTCCAAAGGCAAAGCTGTTACGTACTCTAAAAACTACTAAACTACTTATCTTTAGGATAATCAATTTGTATGTGATTAATTGATAACCCACTACGATCTAATTACACCAACAAGATATTGTCCCTTGGATATATCCCTTATTGAACTGGGCCTCGGAGAGTTCATTTGAAATATTTTCACTTTTTATTATAGATTTTATCTAGTTTTATTTAATTTTACTGTGGTGTAACAACAGCAACCTGTATATCGGCACCCTCTGCACAGAAAGGACAGCTCAACCATGTACAATGTTGCAGCCGCATAGAAGCCGGCGAAAGAGTGTTTATAGTCTTGCATTTCGTCCGCTGTGTGAATCACATATTCGACAACAATCACATAGATTTAGACACGCGAGTAACATCAAAGGATTTTAGTTGGTTCTCACTGCAGCAAGTGAAGTTCATTTTCGGCTAGCACACGTTTGAAATTTAAAAAAAAAATGAACCCGGCCAAGTGCGAGTTGGACTCGCGCACGAAGGGTTCCGTACCGTATTATCTATAGAAACGGCAAAAAATCATCATGGTTCGCAGTCCGTACCGATTTAATGGATTTCAAAGGAAAATTATGCGGTATTAAGTTATTTCAAATTAAGAATCTTAAAAAGTCTGGGGTACTATCTGTTTGATAAAAAATAAACAAATATGCATATTATGCCAAATGTATGTATCTAAGGACCTATTAATATCAAACTAAAAATGGAAACGTAATATAAGATCTATTTAAGAAAAACTGGAAAATATTAATATTAATATTTTCCAGTTTTTCTTAAATATTCCAGCCTACGCCTTTCATATGAACCGTTCTCTTTCATATGAACCGTGAATACCGTTCAGCAAGCAGTTACTTTAGTGACTTTGTTATGAATTGTTATGAGTTGAATGTGTTATGACCGAGTAAGAGAGTAAGAACGATCGTAAAACATATTATATATTATATTAAATTGAATATCATCTGTAAGTATTAAAGCTTTTATAAGTATTAAAGCTTTTAAGCTACTATAATTTAATAGGTTTCTCCAATTCATTTTGTACTGTACGATTGTAATTGAAGATTCATGTCTATTTAATAGCCGTTTGTTACGACTTTGATAATAGGTTTATTAACAACTCGTTATTTAATTGTTAATGGTATACAATATCACATTGATTGCTTTTTAATCGATATTTAATTGAACCAGCTACATTTATATTTATCGTTAGTTTTATTTATTATTTGATTATGTTTTAAACTCTGGCTATTTTCGAATTACGTCCATTGCAGACATTAAATTCCTGTATTTGTCAGTCTCAGTAAAGTCTTCGTGGCTAAACTTTGCCATGAATAGATGTAATAGATTTGATAACAATGAGTATCTCTAAACGAATATGTATGGTTTGCTTTTTTTAACAACCTTAAAAAATCTTTTGGTTGTATAAAAAATAAATCAAGGACAATTTTTTTTCGATTTAGATAACTAGGTTCTAGAAATATTCTTATTTAAGACCACTATAATTTTAGCCGACTTCCAGTCCAACGTGGTGCACTACTTTGACAAAACTTTCTGTAGCGTTCACCCTTAGCTTACATTGTAAATTATAATTAAATATACACCTATTCATTTAACATCACATGCCTGTTTAGAATTTTCACGTTAAATGATTTGTTATTTAGTTTTGTACATTTTATTAATCATTTATATGGTGTAACTCTGTAAAAAATAACTTAGCTTAACTTTCAAATGCTTGTACTTGGAAAAGTATAATTATTGTGGCATAAACATTGGTTCTGGTCCATACATATTCTCACGCCATACCAATGTCCAATCGAATCGCTTACAAGTTTATTTCTTATTCTGGAAGCGATTTCTTCGAAGCCACGCAGCGATCTTCGCATTTTTATGACGCACTGACGCAGGACCTTGATTCTAGCATTTGTGATAATTTTTGTATCCTCTTTTAAAAAAAAAACATAATATCATAGCCATGTATGTTCACATGTTTACGCGAAAAATTTAGAGTAGGTATATTACAACACTATAAATTTCTTTTTTCTCTTTTTTATTTTTCGGATTTTTTTATACTCTTAAACATTCGATATCATATTTTTTATAAATGTACAAATTAAACAATAGCGTGCAAATTGAATAATACTACCTTTATTGAAGTATACTGCATACTTAACTAAAGGTAGCTTTACTTACTTAGTATAAAAACTGTATTTGTATGTAAAGTTTGTAGCTTTATTTTTATAAACCTGTGTTGTGGTTTTCTGATAAGATACTAGTATAATAGACAATTAATAGTTCCTAAAGAGCCAAAAAGAGCGTCAAAATCAATTCAGATCTTATAGCTGAAACTCAAAAACTCAGCAGTCATAAAACGAATAAAATTCACATTCACAACATCATTCTAATAAGTTCCTCATACCTTTAGCGATTAAATAGATCCGAATGCAATCTAGTTGCATTAAACGTATTATTTAATGCCTAAAAGGGATAAAGAACTAGATAAATCAAATTTTCATCATTTACAGACACGGCGAGCAATGGCGCAAGTTCCGGTCGAAGGTACAACGGCCCATACTTCAGCCGCAAACGGTAAAGAAGTACGTGGCCCCAATCGAGCTGGTCACCGAAGACTTCATCAGATACATGGAGGACGCTCGCGACGGGAAAGGCGATCTCCCCCACGAGTTCGACAACGACATTCATCGGTGGTCACTGGAGTGTAAGCTCCCACATCTTTTATTTATAGTATAACAGCTGCTGCTCACGACTACGTCTGCGTAGAATAGGCTGAAGGCGTACCATTCAGAGAGAAAGACAGATAAACATAAAATATATATATATAAATTATAGCCTATATCTTATTCTGATGTATAAGATATATTATTGTAAAGTTTCATAAAATCCATTCGGTAGTATTTGTGTGAAAGAGTAAAAAACATCCATCCATACGTACAAACTTTCGCCTTTAATATTAATAAGGTCTAGCGACCCACCCCGGTTTCATATATAAACCTTCCCCTTGAATCAGTCAAAAAACCCGCATCAAGATCCGTTGCGTACTTTTAAAGATCTAAGCATAAATAGGGACAGACAGACAGCGGGATGACTTTGTTTTATGCTATGTAGTGATTCTTTTAAAGAGACAGGGAATGAGCAAGCGGTATACCTAATAGTAAGTGATATTTTCTACCGAGGTTCATCAGGCTTAAATGTCAAATGTGTATTGCCAATGTCACAGTGGATCTTCAGTTACCAAACACATCAATCGAAAAGCAAAATTTCAAATATTCTTACTTTACTCCGGTCTAGCCGTGTGATAGCTGAGTGTTCGGGCGCTCGATTTTTATTCAATATACTTGAGCAATCCGATTTGCAATCTCGGTGACCAATAAATTTGTTAATTGCTGACGCATCACGTGTGCTTAACGGTGAAAGAAATCTAGAGAAATATTAGCGGACCAGACTTTGTCCTGTACACACGACTAAAATCCGACAATAACTTATAAAAAAAAAATTGCTGGACTGAATAGTTAATTTAAACCATTTTCGAATTGACCTGAAGACACACAAAATTTCATTAAAGTTTCATAAAAATAAATTTCTAGCTCAATGACATACACACTTACAGAAGAATTCTATGTACAGCGTGTCGTTACCACCGCGACAATAAATGAACACACATATAGAGGATAACTCTTTAAAATTATATTAAACATTTACATTCTTTAAACATCAATATTTACGCGAGTTATTAAATTTTCCAAAACAAACAATTTTAGAGCACCCTTACGTATAAAACTGTAACGTAAAGTTCATTTGTAAAGGTCACAAAGCATATGAATGGGTTGAATGAATTTAAAAGAGACAAAACATACAGTTAGAAGGAGAGGCTTGTAATGCGACGCTGTGGCGCGAGTTGTATAGGATGTTACAAATTTTGTTTCTTTTTTACTTAATTAGTTTTTGAAAAATATTTTTTTTTTAATTATGGATTTTGTTTAACGTTAATATTTTTTTATGATTATTGGCAAGTAGCGTTAGACGTGTGTTCATTTATTGTCGCGATGGTAACGACACGCTGTATAAAGAACATAAAGCAGGCCTTAGACTTACGTTCAGCAGTGGAACGTACATAGGGCTGATACTTTAATTTTACCTGGTTTATTGTAAGGTCCAGGAACTTCCCCAGTCAATGTACATTTAGTAATAGAGTTACTATTACTAAACCATGTGGCTATACGATATGGTAAGTACTGGCTAGTGCGAGACTTGTCCCACTGACCGTAAATACATTGTCAAATCATCAAGTAAAGCTCTTCATTTAAAGACACGGCGTCCGACAACAATGTAAAGGAAATATAAATGTATGTGACAAGTGGCTGGTTCTTTTCTCAAATGTTAAGCATAATTACTATTCATGGGGGAAATGCAGCGGGCACCATGCCACGTGGACTAGGATTTGCAGGTACCTAATATGCAAATTAGATAGATTAACGCCCGGTTTCTGAAACACTGATCATTGTAGATGTCAACTAATCAGCTGTCAAATGAATTTCAAAATTCATTTTAGTTGCCAAAAGGATGTTTAAACTCTCTGAATTGACCAGAATGATCTTCTTTATGATCTGAATGAACAATTCAAAGAGTTTAATTCGGGCTTAAATATTGAATTTTAGTGTTAATGTAACTAGTTCATAAATTGAGTCTTAGTTTAAAATGTATTGCAGGCATCTATATGTCGGAAGTTGAGAGGTTATTATTATTATATACTAGTTGAACGTAGTTATTTCTAAGGAATTTGTGAATCTAAAACATAGAAAAAGAATTTTCGGAACGCTCCCATAAAATGTTTGACAGGTAGGAACAGTTTGGGAAAAAAAAATTGTTGCTATTTCGATTTTCCATGCAATTTTTCCGTAATTTCTCATTGTTTAAACCTTCCCTGGATTGCAAAAATTACTAAACTTAAAAAATTATCCAAATCGGTCCAGCCGTTCTCGAGTTTATTAATATCTTTATATAGTTTTTAGTGGTAGTGAAGTGTAAAAACATGAAATTCCCGAATACACTTCAATTTGGTTGATTCAGAAAAATGAGTCTGGTTTCAGTACATGCGTTTTTGTATTATGTCCTATTTTCTGTTTATTTTCATTTATAACTTGACCTTCATTCCATGCTTCTTTTTCTCTCTTTGTTGTTTGTCTTTATTGATTACATCCTTCGATAATGAATGAAATCATCTGTTGATGTCACCTTAAGAGACTAAGTGCTATCCACTGATGTTATCGTGTAGCTGTTACATCCTGTTAGGTAAAACATTGACAGATAAGGACCAGCACGTATGTGTATGTGTTTGTAGAAACGCCTGCGTGATGCATTTGTCTATGATAACTTAGCGGTTAGCATTACAAAAACGACGTGAGAAGAGTGCACTAAAATAAAACTTCGTGGGTTCAAATTATCCTACACTTGGAACCGAAAAGGTTCAATTAAAAATACGTTCAATCTTGTATCTTGTATTAACTGATGTTTTTGCTTTCAGTCCCGAGACTATTAAAGCTTCATCTGACGCAGAACCGGTGGGCTAGCAAGAACCCACGGGTTTGGGCCCTCCGCTGTGGGTAGGGCCACGCATGTGCTCATGCGTGCGTTTAACTATGGTGTGTCATCTAAGGGCCATCGAGGTCGTGGTTCGGACCGAAACCCCGATGGCCGTCGACTGTGCAATTAGCTAATCGGTGGCTGGGGGCTGTGAGGACCGCCCTGGAACGCGGGTGTACCTTGTGTACGCGTTGTGTTGGTCTCGCCGTGCTCGGAGGCGAGGGCGAACTAGTGTGTTTGTTGTTGCACTAACTGTGGGTGTAGTGTTTTCCGGCGGGACCCCCGGCAGTGGGTCCGGTGTGTCTAAGTCCCCTTCCTCGACCGGGTCGATTAGGACGTTTCGCGGGCGACGCTTGTTGACGTTCGCGTTTTGGTCGGGTTGGTAATTTGCTGCGCTTACCACCAGAGGGTTGGGATGATGTTCGGCTCTATCGAAGAACCGTTTTGTCAGATCTTTGAAATATTCGCGAATCGTCGGGAGTCTGCAATCGCTGTGCAGGTCGACGTTGCGTTGATACCACTGCGCACCGGTTGCGCGGCGGATGAACTTATTTTGTACTATTTGCAACTTGTACAAGCGAGTAGGGTGCGTGTGGGCGAAGGTCATGCATGCGTAAGACATAATAGGTCGTACGCAGGTCTTATATAATAATTTGTGCCTTAAGGGCATTTTACTTTTAGCGTTAGTTAAATTGTGTAGCCGGCCGGAGATGAACGCGGCTCTATTGCGAACGTTATTAATGTGCGTAGAAAATGACATACGCGAGTCGAAAGTGACTCCTAAGTATTTGACCTTTTTCTCCCAGGGGAGCGGTTGGCCATAAAGGGATATTTGCCCCAACTTTCTGCATTGACGAGGGCCATTATAAAGATGTGACGGGTAAGTACTTCGTGTGAAGTGAATCGCCACACTCTTTTCGGGATTTATTTCTATTCTCCATTTGCGGAACCAATCGCCGAGGCGGTCGGCAGCGCTTTGGAGTCGAGTGGTAATACGTTCAAGGGTATGTCAATGAGATAAGACAGCGCACAATAGTCGAAAGACGAGTAAAGTACAAATGATTTTTCTTAATTTACTTGTTATTGAAAATACATTAAAAACATTACAAAGTGATACAAAAAAGTTTATAGGGTTTATAGGGATCAGATATTGAAGTTTGTAGAAAACGCAATCCTAAGAAAATCAATATACAAGGTAGAAGTTTTTTTATTGACTTGTCAGGATTGGTCGTATTTTATTTTATTTATTTTTAATCGGCATCTAAATAATTCAACAAACATTGCTTCATTTTACGTTTTACTAAAACCAGTTTGTCTAAGAAAAGATAAAGCTCTTGCTTCATGGTAATTTGCAACATCCCGCGTGTACGTAATCAACCTTCATTATTCCTGATGCTTTAAAGAACGGGTAGTGTTAGTAATTATTCATTTACATATAATTATTTTGATATCTTTGTAAGCTTACAAAATTATTACGATACTTCAGAAATGCTAAAAACGTAAGCTAGTTTTGTCGTATCTATATCTATTTTTTTATATAGGTTTATATATATAAGAGATATCCACCAATGATTGACTCATCATGATATCTCTGGAACCATAAGGCGTAAAGACTTGAAATTTGGTAGGAATATTTCTTTTGTCGAGTAGAGGTCAGCTAAGAACTTTCGGTGAAATTCCACAAACCAACGTTTGCCGGATCAGCTAGTTGTTAATAATACATACAACAATGGGCTCCTTCTTACGTGCATTTACCGCCAACGACTGCATTGCCTCTTTCCTACCATGAGGATGGCAGTGAGGAACTTGAAAGTTGGTGAAAAAAAAAAGAAAATTTATTAAAATGCTATAGCTCGGCCACATTGTAGTGAATTAATTTTCTTTCTCCATAACACATCAATCTCCATTCAAAAGAAGATTAATCTGTTTTTTTCTCTCTTTAGGTATCGGCCGCGTAGCTTTAGACGTCAGGCTGGGCTGCCTTTCGTCGGACCTGACGAAAGATTCCGAGCCGCAGCGCATAATTGACGCGGCAAAGTTCGCGCTTAGGAACGTTGCCGTGCTAGAACTGAAGGCGCCATATTGGCGATACGTGCCCACGCCACTCTGGACTAAATACGTGAATAATATGAACTTCTTCATTGAGTAAGTTCATGATCCATAAATACAAATAGAAATAAAATTTTATTAATTTCAATAATATTTTATTTAACCGAATACATTGCAACTTTGTAAAAAGATATCTTGATATTTTTATCTAATATTAATATTTTACATAACTTAAAAAATGTAAAATTATATTCTGTAAACAATAGTACAAACACAAATTCATTTTGTTATACTAATATATATTAATATATTTTTCTTCTTTGTATAAGTAAATAATTTCTTCCACGTTAAATTTTTTTTAGGATTTCAATTAAATTGTTTGTCCTGTACTTACTAAATAAATTGGCTTGATACGTCCGTGTATTGGCTATCTCAGTCGTTTCTGATGTGGGTAAAAGGAGATAACGCTATCTTTGCCATTGCAGCCTGTGCAGTCGCTACATAAACGAGGCGCTGGAGCGCCTTAAAACCAAAAAAGTGACCTCGGAGAACGACCTCTCGCTCCTGGAGCGAGTGTTGCGCAGCGAAGGTGACCCCAAAATCGCGACGATCATGGCTCTGGACCTCATCCTCGTTGGGATCGATACGGTTCGTGGAAATTCGTGCTAAATATAGCTATCACATAGATATAAAAGAAATAAATAAAAACTATTTATTTGACATCACTTGAATAAAAAAAACTTAAAACAAAATATACCGAAAAAGAATTATTGTTACGTCAAATTGGAACCCCATTTCAGCAAATTCTATTTTATAATGTTATTGATGAATGTAATCAGCTAAATTCAAATGTCTTCTTTTACTTTTTTCTTACCTTCTTTTAGATTTTTCAAAACGCTACCACACCTGTTGGGAAAACAAAAGCCTCAGACATGAGAAGAACCATATGCATAACTTTGGTGAACCCTATCGTAAAGGCTCTACTGGTGCATTGGCTAGGCGTCGGTACCGAAAGTCGGGGATTTGATTTTAACCCGGAGTGACTAGTTATGTAACCTATGAAATTAATTGGGTCCGATTTGATAAGTCCCCATATAATAAGCGGCCCAGTAGATGAAATTAGAACGTTAAAAATGTGGTCCGAATCGGTCGGTCATAAATGGTCAGTGATTTTTAGCAATTGGTCAAAACTTACAGGCTCAAATTCAAACTAAGGCCAACTAGCGTAACTAAGGGCGGAAAAATTTTGGTGGCTCCAATTAATCCTAGGGATCAGATCTAAAATTATTAAAATTAGTCACAATCAAAATTTTTGTTTGCACTGTTATAAAACGAGTTAGCGGTTCACCTGATGTAAAGTGATTACCGCCGCCCCGGACATTTGCAACACCAGTAGGGTTGCAGACGCGTTGTCACCTTTTAATAAAGTGAGCTCCGGCTACCTCACTCACCCGACTAAACGTAAAACTATTACACTTCCTCTTCACGCCGGTCTTCTGTGAAGTCGTTGTACTTACCCGGACGGACGTGCCCATACGTGCAACAGCTTAGGTTGTTGCACAGATCTACCACAGTTAGCTAGTCCTATATGTCCTCATTTTATGTAATATCAATAAAAATGCGTTCAGATTTCAATGGCGGTATGTTCGATCCTATACCAAGCGGCAACAAGACTGGAGCAACAGGAGAAGATGGCGGAGGAAATAAGAAGAGTCCTACCCGATCCTAGCCAACCTCTCACCTACTCGGATTTGGACAAGCTTCATTACACGAAGGCCTTTGTCAGAGAAGTTTTCAGGTCAGTTATGTTAAATAGTGATTATGAAACAATTTTGTTATCATAATGAAATATTTTTAGGAAGCCTACTGACAGAAAGCTGTCGCAAATCTAACAAATAATATTTGATAATTTTACTTACTTATCTCGTTATGACTATTGGCAAGCCAAGAATCAAATCTTTTTATAGTAATTTAACAGGCAAATAATTTTACATTTCGATGTTTTGGTGTCCTTACAAACTTTTTACTTCAGGGTGTCAAAAACTGTACCCATGAAGTTACCATTATAAATGTTATTCTCATTATGCACATTTTCTGGACCTGAGTACCTTCATAAGAGAATATGTCTACTTCAAAGAAAATGCATAAATTTGTAAACGGTGGTAGGGCCACGCAGCAGCCTCGGCTGTTGCACGAAGACCAGCGTAAGGTGGAAGTATAATACTTTCGCGTTTCGTCTGGTGAGTGAGGTGGCCGGAGCCCAATTTCCAAAAGGTTGTCAACACATCTGGAACCTTCTAGTGTAGCAGACGTCCATGGGCGGCGGTATTCATTTAACATCAGCTGAACCGTCTGCTCGTTTGGCAACTATTCACATAAAAAAAAAAACAGTGGACTCCATTTCCATAAAAAATAATATCCCCCATTAAATGCAAGTCTTCAACTATACCATAAAGCTCTTTCCCCACTCCTCCTGTATTTACTCTGTGCCGTTGTGGTGTTTTACAAAATTTAGGCAATAAATGACCTTTCTGAGTTAGCCAATAAGATCTGGAAACCCAGTAAGAACATAACACAAGCCATCAAAACAATACTAATGTTAAATTAGTTTTAGGCCTTTTTCCCTATCGAAAAATGTGACAACGATTTATTTGTTTATTTATAATTTATTTTCAGGATGTATTCAACCGTCATCGGCAATGGGAGAACTCTGCAAGAAGATGACGTCATCTGTGGATATCATATTCCTAAGGGCGTAAGTATTGCAAACAGTTTTGATAAGTTTACAAAGTTTTGGATACGAAAAAGGAACAGTCTACAACAATGATTATGTTTTTTACTGTTTTAGTTTGAAATTGAGTCTAGAAAGCTAAATAAAGTACAACACCAATTCTTACGTCTTTAACTTTTATCAGTAGATATCAGGTAGTACGCAAATTTCACCGAGAGTATATTATTATTAAAATGAAAATTCATTACGAGATATTGTGTTTAGATAATTTATTATTTCTTATACATACGTTACTTATACTTTTACAAAGACGGTAATTTCTTCTACATAGATTTGCGCCCAGACGCTTTAACCACTAAGCTAGACGGCCCATTGTCACACCGACGTAAAACTTAACGTATTTTTCTACAAGTTTCATGTTAAGTGCAGAGATAACGTTTCATGTAAAGCACTATAAAAAATTAAATCAAGAAAAGATTGATTGACTCCGTTGCGTAGTTGCCAAGACATTAAATGCAATTGCCGGTTATTTAAATAACTTGGAACTATTGGTAAATATTAAAAAAAAGTTGTTCATCGGTTGCCAATATTAAATTACTTACTAAGCATCGTGTCACTTTTTGAGGGTCGGTGTGCGCCCAGTAAAAATTTTAGGTACTCTCATAAATACCAATACCGTACCTAAACGCGTCAAAAGAAGTATTACTTATACTTCAGATCACTTAACATCAGCCGTCAGCTCGCTTGCCACCTTCCCATAAAAGGAAACTTCAAAATAAATTTACCGCGTCACAGGTCCAAGTGGTGTTCCCGACGATAGTGACGGGCAACATGGAGCAGTTCGTGTCCGATCCGGAGGAGTTCAGGCCGGAGCGGTGGCTGGGGGGCGAGGGGAGGCTGCACTCGTTCGCCTCGCTGCCTTACGGCTTCGGGGCGAGGATATGCCTCGGCAGGCGATTCGCCGACCTGGAGATACAAGTCCTGCTGGCCAAGGTGAGTGGACGGAATGAGATAGAAGACGGAAATTGATTGACTGACTTGATGACTTCTTGGCGCGGTTGCCAAAGTATTGGCACCGGCGTCGGGAGTCGTGGGTTCGATTACCACACGGAACGACTGTTTGCGTGAAACGCTTAATGCTTGTGAAACGTCCTTAGAACACAGGATAATGTTATCCTAAAGTAAGGGCGATGTTTAAAAAAAATACAAGTTCCCTCGCTGCTGATTTCATACTTAAACGAGCTGACCAGGCGAACTTTTTGCTATAAAAATGTTTAGGCTAGACCACCATTATCACTTAGGGGTATGAAAAATAGATTACGAACGATTCTCAGACCTACCAAATGTAGATATAAAATTTCATAAAAACCAATCAAGCTGTTTCGGAGGAGTATGGCAACTAACAAAGTGACGCAAGAATTTTATTAAATATAGATAAGTTTGTATAATTGTATCAGTAAACATCGGGTGAACCGCCAGCTTGCTGGCACAGTAAAAAACAAACAGTAAGAAGATCCAGATCGGAAATTATTACGGTGCGCGAATATTAAGAACGAAATTAAATTTCAGTTGCTGCGTCGCTACCGACTGGAATATCATCACGAGCCTCTGGAGTATGCCGTGACGTTCATGTACGCGCCCGACGGTCCGCTACGCCTGAGAATGTTGCCCCGATAGACTTCACAGCTATTATTTATCTACGTCTATTAAAAAGTTGTTAAGTTAGCATCGACTTATTTAAGTATTGCCGTCTGTAGACCATTAATTTGAACGTTAAAAGAGGTTTTTGATATTTCTGACATTTAAATTTTGTCTTACAGTAGATATGATCAAAAATTTTTTGATCGATTGAGTATTCAACAATAGATTGTTGGTTGAAGTTAGACAGTTTTTTACCATCGCTGAGATTTATCTATTTTCTCTTCGCAGTAGAGAAAGAGAGAATAGTTAGAGGCTGTTATTATTATATAACAAGATTTTATTTAGATATAAAAGCCTAATCGTTTGCTACCAACGTCTTCTACTTTATCGTTTGCTACCAACGACTTCTACTTTATCGCTTGCCAACAACGTTTGCTACCAATCTACCGTTTGCTACCGACGCTTGCTACCAACAGCTTCTAGATTTTAATACTTCAAAGTAATTATTTATAAATAAAACAGTTCGTTATCCGACAAAATACTTCGCGGTGTTCAGCGTAATATTATACGGCAAGATTGACGCCCAGTTTATGAAACACTGATCATCGTAGAAGTACTAACCAGCTGTCGAATGGTTTTTCAGATGTTATTTAAAATAATCTTCTTAATGATCAGAATGATCAATTCAAAGAGTTGAACCATCCCTTTGACAACTCAAATGATACTTGAAAAACCATTTGACAGCTAATTAGTTAACTTCTACGATGATCAGTGTTTAAGAAACCGGGAGTGAGTATCGGATAGTATATTGGTGACACCTCTTATTATATTAACAATAATTTAAATATGACGAATGTTCGTGTATAGTGCATGAATCTATGATAGTTACATTTTTATACGCATTTCTGTTATTTTTTTGCTTTCAAATGTATTTTATGGGTGCTAGTTATTACGATTTTTGATTAGAAGTAAGGAAATACTTTTTGTAATACAATGTTTGAGTATTTTATGTCTATTTGTATTGATTAAGGAATTACTCTTTTCTTGAGAATAACTCTCGGCAAATGTAAATTTTGTTTAAAATTTTTCGTTTTGTATTAATAACTGTAAACCGTTAGATAAAGGAACTTTTTAAAACTATTAATTTGAGATTATCGCAAAAAAATATTATAAGAGTAACGTACATAATTATAGTAATTTGTTGTTTTTGTGATGTTATTTGTGTTTTTACATGTAGAATGTAAATAAAATGTTTGTTTTCCTACATTGTGTTTCGATTTTAGAGTTTCATCCGTAGTGGCCTCATTTTAGGAATTCATATCTGATTTTAAGTTATTTTTAAAGGAATTATAAACTGGTGATAATTATATGACATGTACAATAAGTGTCGATATCTTATCCTTTAAACGAGCAATTCTTGTGTATATATATATATATATATATAATCGGAATGTCGGAAACGGCTCCAGCGATTTTCATGAAATTTAGTATGTGCATAGATTCGGGGGCGAAAAATCGATCTAGCTAGGTTTCATTTTTAGAAAATGTCCTTTTATCCCTGTTTTCAGGGAATAAAAAATATAATTCGAATATGACGGTAAATTTCGCTGCAAGAGAAAATGTCATAATAGCTCGGTCGGTAATCGGGCGGCCCCAAAACAGGCGGCCGTGGTTCGCGTCACGATCATTTACACATTTACTTTTTTACTTTTTTTTTCGATAATAATTTCTTGTATTTACGCGATTACACATTATAAATGAAACTAATTTTACGGATTTATCGCGTTTATTTTTTTTTTTTTTTTTAATTTTAATTCCCGACGTTTCGAACCCTTTACAGCGTTCATGGTCACGGGACAGACTGAGGTGTTAGACGTCTGATTGTCATAGTTAACCCGGGCTACCGTCAGTTTTTGAATTATTAATTTTGTGTCCGATCTATGCAGAGGGAGCTAATTGTATCTTGTCTTGCAGTAGTGGTTCGTTTGGGCCTAGATTTAATTTTATTGATGACAGGATCCCAAGCTGATGGTAGTACCCAACCTTCTTCTCTATTGAAATTAGGGTGTTTTTTAATTTCAATAGCCTCGCGAATCATCCTTGGGAGGAATCGGTGTTCTTTTTGCAAGGATCTGTGGTTTGTCAAACCTGATGTAGTGGTTGGGTCTATTCAAAATGTGCTCACAAACTGCAGACTTGTTCAATCTATTGTGTTTGATGTCAGCTATATGTTCTTTCACGCGGGTTTTTATTGCTCTTTTCGTTTGACCTATGTAAGAGAGCCCACATTCACAGTCAAGTTTGTACACTCCTGGATCTTGCAGAGGGATATTACACTTGACAGATGGTAAAAACTGACTAATCTTCTTCAGCGGCTTTGGAGAATGTATTAATTGAAGCCTGCTTTAAGATATAGCCAATCTTGTCGGTGACTCCTCTGACGTATGGTAGAACAGCAGGTACTCGCTCCACTGTGGCTGGTTTCACTCGGTCACTGTGACGTAGGCGCGGTGCTCGAAGCTTGTTGTCATGCAGAACTTGCTTGACATGTTGGAGCTCAGCGGCCAGGTGTTGTTTGTCACAGATCCCTTGTGCTCTCTGAAACAAAGATTTACCCACGGTAGCTAACTGGGATGGATGGTGGTGAGAATCACCGTTTAGGTATCTATTTGTATGGGTTGCCTTCCTATACACAGTGTGACTTACAGTGTTATTTGGATTGCGGATGACCAAAACATCTAAGAAAGCTAAAGAGTTATTATGCTCTAATTCCATAGTGAATTGTATTTTGGAATTTACTGAGTTAAGGTGGTTTAGAAATGCATTAACTTTACTTGTTGGTAAAATGGTGAAGGTGTCATCTACATACCTCTTGTAAAACCTTGGATAAATGGGAGCTGTGCGAAGGGCCTTCTCCTCAAAGTCTTCCATAAATATGTCAGCGACAATGGGAGATACTGGGCAGCCCATTGCTACACCATCTATCTGTATGTAAAATTCCTCCTTCCGAAGCAAGTAGCCGGATGTTAGGCAATGTTTAAGTAGTAATGCATACTCTTCCGGCATGTTATTCTCTTTTAGCTTTCTTGTTACAATTGAGATGCAGTCTTCTAATGGTAGGCATGTAAATAAAGACTGTACATCAAAACTGACCATTGTTTCATTGTCAGCAAGACATAGTTGTTTTATCTCACTAACAAAATGATGTGACCATGAACGCTGTAAAGGGTTCGAAACGTCGGGAATTAAAATTAAAAATAAACGCGATAAATCCGTAAAATTAGTTTCATTTATAATGTGTAATCGCGTGAATACAAGAAATTATTATGTAAACCAGTACGGACTGGAAGTTGCAAATAAAATTCGCGGTCTGGAAGATCTGAAGACTAAGCGCGCAAGATATATAACATCTTTAAATTTCTTGAAGAGATGCCGAGACAACAATCTCATTCCTACGTGTGTCAAAATCTCATCGAAGAAGGACATTCGAGGAAGCGCGAAGATCTTAAACCAGGCCAGTATAAAATTGTTACGTAGGGTAATTCGTCAAAATAGATCCGATCTATATGTCATTAATTCTGCCATAGATAATTCATCCAGTCAGCTTAAAACAATTTTAACGGCATTTGATTACCAAAACTGCATGTATACATTAAATCAGCGCGAAACAACTAAATATAAACAATGCAAAAATCAAACTTATTGAAAAATATCATAAATTAGTCAACAAATCAAATGCCAAACGATCTTCGCAACGCATGAACGAAACGCAACCGTTGACCACAGACACAGAGAATAGACATCGCGCGGTCTATAATCTGTCACAACAAACACTGGATGAATCTACTATGAAGGTGTTATCGAAAGGTTTAAATTTCGCAATAACGCCGCGAAAAAATCCCGTACGAAGAAATAATCTGTAGTGTCGAGGACTGTTTATATAAAAATAACATCGGTAAGGAAGATTTAGAAGGTATACGACAAGATATTTCGTCCTTATTACGTCGAAGTTCGGTACCGAAGTCTAACCTCCCTAAAGATGAATTTAACGCGTTAAACAGCTTACGCAACAACAAAGATTTAACTGTTCTCCGCGCAGATAAAGGAAATGCTACGGTGGTTATGAAAACGTCGGATTATAATTTGAAAATACAAGAACTGTTGTCGGATGTAAGCACGTATAAAAAGGTCAAAACAGACAAAACCACTAAAACTCTTAAATTAACTAGCGATCTCATTAAAAAATACTCCGAAAAATTAAATCTAGACGTGAAATCGATGACACCTTCATGTGCTAAACCCCCAAAATTGTATGGGTTGCCTAAAATACACAAACCAGACATACCATTACGCCCTATTGTAAGCCAGATCGACTCACCAACTTACAGACTGGCTCAACATCTAGTACGAATTCTCTCACCACTGAGAGGACACACAAGGGCATACACAAAGGATTCTTACCATTTTGTTAGTGAGATAAAACAACTATGTCTTGCTGACAATGAAACAATGGTCAGTTTTGATGTACAGTCTTTATTTACATGCCTACCATTAGAAGACTGCATCTCAATTGTAACAAGAAAGCTAAAAGAGAATAACATGCCGGAAGAGTATGCATTACTACTTAAACATTGCCTAACATCCGGCTACTTGCTTTGGAAGGAGGAATTTTACATACAGATAGATGGTGTAGCAATGTAGCAATGGGCTGCCCAGTATCTCCCATTGTCGCTGACATATTTATGGAAGACTTTGAGGAGAAGGCCCTTCGCACAGCTCCCATTTATCCAAGGTTTTACAAGAGGTATGTAGATGACACCTTCACCATTTTACCAACAAGTAAAGTTAATGCATTTCTAAACCACCTTAACTCAGTAAATTCCAAAATACAATTCACTATGGAATTAGAGCATAATAACTCTTTAGCTTTCTTAGATGTTTTGGTCATCCGCAATCCTAATAACACTGTAAGTCACACTGTGTATAGGAAGGCAACCCATACAAATAGATACCTAAACGGTGATTCTCACCAC